AGAATTATATTATATATAAACTTGATACTATTTGTTGTAAATAAATTATTGTAACTACTTTTCTGTTACGTTACTATCTTCTCTACTATTTCTTTAATAATATATAATTTGTTAATAGAAATTAGGTAGCAAATAAATGCTATATTAAATATTACATAAAGAATAGTAGTTTCAAAATTAATAATAATATATGTAGTAGAGAAGATAGCAGTCTAACAGGAAAGGTAGTTACGAATAATTATTTAGAACAAATAGTATAAAGTTGTATATATATATATATAATTCTTATCAAAACATAAATTTTAATTATAATTTATGTTTTTACACGATATCTGAGTAGTAGAACAATTAATGAAAAGTGGATATTATTAAAGGTATTAATAAATATATACTAACATTCAATTTTTTTTCAGAATTATCCTTTTTTGATGTTGATGTACGATTACTATTGCTCGTTTTTGATGAATTCGTAGATTGCTTCATCGCAATTGATTCGACGCAAATGTGCACGAACAAAAAGCCACGGACAATGGACAATGGATTTTTAGTAGAGAAGATAGCAGTCTAACAGGAAAGTATAGTTACGAATAATTATTTTAGAACAAATAGTATCAAGTTATATATATATATATATATATATAATTCTATCAAAAACACAAATGTTTAATTATAATTTATGTTTTTACACGATATCTGAATAATAGAACAATGAATGAAAAGTGGAATTATCAAGAGACGCAGTAATGTGTCTCTCGCCAAGTATCATGTTAATCAAAGTTATTATTATTAAAGGTAATAATAAATATATACTTACATTCCATTCTTTTTCAGAGTTATCTTTTTTATTTTTTGATGTTGATGTACGATTGCTATCGCTTACTTTTGATGGATTTGTATATTGCTTCATCGCAAATGATTCGACGCAAATGTGCTCGAACAAAAGGCACAGACAATGAACAATGGACAATGTACATACAAGTCAGTTATTAGCGTCATCTAGAATAAATGCAGTAGCGCTGATAGATTTACTTATTCTTCTTTATCTATGAATAATATTATAAGTAAGTTTATCGATCGTAACTATAAGTAATCCTTAAAGGTCGGTAATATAGTTTGTAATTTCAATAAAAGTTTTATATGATCGATTATGGATTTATTTACCATTTGGATTATCAATCGATAGATTATGATAAGTTTTGCATGAGGGCAGCATTATATTAAAAGAGACGGTAGTTTTGTGTCTTTAATTACTATACGTATCATATAATGTATGTGATAAGTGGGTAATAGTGGACAAGTGAATAAAAGTGAAGAAGAAAAGGCAAGAAGGATAAGAAGAAAATAAAAAGAAAGGTATATTAAAAATTATTATTAAAATTCATAGACATATATATTGATTGTGAAAGATATTTACTTTTCTTAAGATTATGTACATGCAAGGTTTTATTATAATTTACTTTTGTACATATGTTTTATTTTATTATATTTGTACATAATTTTTCTTTCAAAATTATATTAGTATATTAGTATATTATATCCTTTTATATCATATTTTAAATTGCTGTGAAAATATGCTATTCTTTTTATACATATACGACTTTTAAAAAGTAAAAATGTTCTTGAATAATGTGCATATTCTTAGAGCAAAATAATATTATTTGTTAAATTATTTACTTTTTTCAGCTACTTAAAATTATTTAAAAACAAGAGAAAAGAACGAGATAGAAGGAAAGGAAAAGAAAAGAAGAAGATAAGAAGATATAAAAAGGAAAAGGTAGAAGATAATAAGAAACATAATAATTAGTTATATAGTTCAGGTATGTTTATGACATTTAATTAATGCATTCTTCTGATTGCTGTTTCAGAAGTTGCGCTATTTATTTTATATTTATATAATTATATTTGGTATTGTAATATAGTCATATATTAAATTAGTATTTCAAGAATTATCAGAATATATTACGTTGAAGAAAATATATATTTACTGTCACTTTTCTATATAATTCTATATGCGATGCACTCTTAGTATGTTGCATTGTTAACTCACTATTTATAATGATTTGATTAGTGATTAGTGTCAAAGTATACAATTATTTTCTTACTGAAGATATTTTATATTGTGTATATTGTATATTTTATACTCGATGATTTGGAAATGTACTCTCAGAGTAATAATTTGCAAAATATCTTAATTGTTAATATGATAACTTAAAATCTATGTTACATTATATACAATTCTGATTTTATTTATACAATTTAAATCTTTTTTAGGAAACATAATTTGTGAAGAAAAAAATAGAAAAGAATAATGTACATATAGTAGTATCTAAAGCAAAATGCCGAATATTTTCATTGGACTTCAAAATACGAAGATGGGCATTAACGAAAATTGTTCAGTTTAAATGGGGATTATAATATTATAAAGTTTATTATAATATTATTACTTTCCACAATATTAACAAAATTGTATACTTTGACAATAATCATTAATCAAACCATTATAAATAGTGATTTAACAATGCAGCATACTCTGAGATTGCATTGCATATAGAATTGTATAGAAAAATGACAGTAAATATATATTTTCTTCAACGTAATATATTTTGATAATTCTTAAAATACTAATTTAATATTTTATGACTATATATAAATATAAAATAAATAGCGCAACTTCTGAAACAGCAATTCTGAGGTTTCAAGGTTATCAGCTTTTTTCATTATATTAAAAAAGAATTTTAAGACTAATAGATATATTTATTTTGATACATAACGACATATATGTATTTTAATAGATTTAGAAATAATATATGTAATATCTGAGTTTGTTTACATTTTCAGCTTATTTTCGTGAAATTTATTGCAGGAGATATTCAAAATGTTATTTATCAATATCAACACAAATCTTTAATTGCTGAATAAATGAACGATGTATTCTTTGAATGTTATTGTAAACATTGTCTTTTAGTACTCCCTAAAAATCTAAAAGAGTTAAATATAGAGAACATATTATTAATGTCACCTAACATTATTCAAAAAACATCGTTTATTTATGCAAGCGATTATGCAATTGCATTGATTTTCATGGACAACACTTTAAATATTTCCTGCAATAAATTTTATGAAAATAATATTAAGTTAAGGACGTTAACAGAACATTAGGAACATAAACATTAGGAATTACCATGTACATTATAAGAAATTGCTTCCTCAGATACATTTTCTAAATCTATTATATTAAATATCTCGTTATACAGAGTGTATCTGATAAAAAGTTGACCACATTTTTTTCGAAAACCAAGGTTTTGATCAAAAAATGTTTCTTACAAAAGTTTTATGACTTCGAGGGGGACATAAGATAATGCCATTGGTTTAAGTGTAATGCTTAGGTGTAGGTGCCAAGGTTATATAAAGGCTAACCTAGTTTTTTTAAATGAATTTGATATAATTTTACTTAAACTATAAAATATCTCGTAAAATATTCATTTTTCAATTATCTTACCTCAATACTTTTATGCACAGAATAATAAGAAGAATCAATTGGTATAAAGAAAATAATGTTTTAAAAAAATATGAATTTGCAACGAGCACTTACATATTTCTTTAAAAATATGAATTTGCAAGGAGCACTTACATATTTCTTTAAAACAATACCAATTGATTCCTCTCATTATCGAAAAATTAATATTTTATGAAATATTTCATTCTTTTATAATTTTTTACACAAAATATTACGAGGAATTGATTGATATAAAAAATTAGTTACGAGGAATTGATTGATATAAAAAATTAGAGTAATTCTATTAAAAAAACTAAGTTGGCTTTTACAAAATTTTAGAATCTACACCCAAGGTCAAATCAATAGCACCATCTTATATTCCCCTCGAACTCACAAAATTTATGTACGAAACATTTTTCGATGAGTCTTGATATTCGAGAAAAATTTGGTGAACTTTATCAGATGCACTCCGTATATTTCAAATATGATTTACAGAGTATTTTATTTTAATCTTATCAGGCAAATATCTCAAAAAATATAGAAGACATGAAAAAATGTTTCAAACAAAAGTTTTATGACTTGGAGAGGGACATAAGATGGTACCATTTGTTTGACCTTGAATAGTCGTTTTTTAAAGAGCACATGTAAAGATTACCTTCAATTTCTTAAATGAAAACCCCCATTTTCTTGTAGTTTCCTCGAGAGCTTTTCAAAACACTATAATAAAGTTTTTTTTTAAGTACTTTTTAATTTTAGGGCTTGAAAGTATCGTTGACATTAACATTACTCAAAGTATACCACGTGTAGGTTGCACGGTCGAATTTACACTTTTGATGTGTTTCTGTGTATATGCATGTATGCACAAATACAATAGAAATGTAAATTTGATCATGCAACTTCCATGCGTTATACCTTGAGTAATGTTAATGCCGATGGTACTGTATATTTTAAGCCTTATAACTCGAAAAGTACTTAATGAAAAAATATTTTATATAATGTTTTGAAAAACTTTTGAGGTAAGCTACAAGAAAATGCAATAAAAAAATGGGTAAGAAATTGACCTTTATGTGCTCTTTAAACGACTATCCAAGGTCAAACAAATAGCACCATCTTATGTCCTTCTTGAAGTCATAAAACTTTTATCTGAAACATCTTTCCGTATGTTTTATATTTATGAGGATATTTGTCTGATAAGATTAAAATAAAACACCCTGTTTAAAACATATCGTTGAACTTGAAATTCTCTTTTACATAATAAAAAATATATATCTTAATAAATAAATCTTTTTACATCGTTAAGTTATCTATGTAGAAACTAGTACTAAATTTTATTTATCAAATAATTTATTGCAAGCAATTTATCGCATTTAAAGGTATCCATTTCTCTTAAATGATATTAATGTTAAACAAGAAGTTTTAATTTTTTGCACATTAGCTCCAGAATTGACAGCATCAAGAATTAGCGGCTTTTCAAACGGATTCAAGGTAAGTTAATGTTTTTTTATCACAAAGGCTGCTGTGCGCCTGTAAAAACCAGCTGCTGTGCGCTTGTAAAATCCGGCTGCTGTGCGCCGATACAGAGCTGCTGTGCGCCTGTAAAAACCGGCTGCTGTGCGCCGATACAGAGCTGCTGTGCGCCTGTAAAAACCGGCTGCTGTGCGCCGATACAGAGCTGCTGTGCGCCTGTAAAAACCGGCTGCTGTGCGCCGATACAGAGCTGCCTTGCGCCTGTAAAAACCGGCTGCTGTGCGCCGATACAGAGCTGCTGTGCGCTTGTAAAAACCGGCTGCTGTGCGCTGATACAGAGCTGCTGTGCGCCTGTAAAAAACGGCTGCTGTGCGCCGATACAGAGCTGCTGTTCGCCTGTAAAAAACGGCTGCTGTGCGCGGATACAGAGCTGCTGTGCGCTTGTAAAATATATATAGAGCAACTGCACGACTGTGAAGGGTGACTGTTGCATACTTATAATAAATATATAGAATGTTTGTAAACACAAAGAAGTATATTCTATCATCTAGAGAAAAAGATATAATTATTGAAGGTGATTGGTTAACTGATATACATATGGATCATTTTGGTTATCTTTTACAAAATTGTTCAGACTATAGACCTGTCGAAACCTGGCGAGTGCAATGTCTTGATAGGATTCAACCTATGCCAGTAGATAAAAAACATATACAAATATTACATAGTTCATCAGGTCCCTATGATGGACATTGGGTGTGCAGTTATTATAACAAAAAGAACATATTTATTTATGATTCATTAAATTCTAAGAATCTACATAAGCATCACGAACAATTCTTGAAAAGATTATTCCCAACATATGACTTTAAAAAGTACCCTGTTAAGTTTCCAACTGTACAACATCAACCAAATGGTAACGATTGCGGTGTTTTTGCAATAGCTTTTGCAATTTCATTATTATTCAATATCAAACCCGAGAAAGTGAAATATGATCATAGTTTAATGCGTTCGCATTTGATGAAAATTTTTGAATCTAATGTAATCGAGCATTTTCCACAAGATTCACGATATGGTGCTCCTCAAAAAATACTTCCATTAACAGTGGTTAAAACGAGAGAAGCTGAAGCAATTCGTCTAAGTACGATACGTCAACATGAAACAAAGCAACAAAAATTGAATCGTTTGAAAAAAGTTTATAATAGTCGATCTAAGAAAAAATTAAGTAATAATCAATTATTAATATTAACAGACAAAAATACTCAAAAAAAATTTATACAAATAACAAATAATATTAAAGAATTTATAGAAACAACAAATAATATTAAAGAAACAAATGATACTGAAGAAACAAATAATATTGAAGAATTTACAAAAACATCAAATAATATTGAAGAAACAAATAATGTTGAAGAATTTATACAAACAAATTATATTGAAGAAACAAATGATATTGAAGAAATTGATAAATATTTTCAAAATAAACATTATATTAAAAATCATAGTCAGTTACAAAATTATTGATTATAATAATAATGATTTATGCAGTAACAATAAAACAAATAAAATCAAAATTTACGAACAAACTTATACAAACAAAAATTCTGAAAGTAAATGTACTAAGAAACGTTCTCGATGTGAAGATACTGTCCAATTAGAAGTTATTAATAAAAAAGAACAAGATGTGCAAGACTTAGAAAGTTTACTTATTAACAAGCAGATACATTGTACAAAAGATTTAGAAAATAATCGAGCTAAAAAACGACATCGATACGAACAAGATTTAGAAAACAATCGCGCTAAAAAACGACATCGATACGAACAAGATTTAGAAAATAATCGCACTAAACAACATTATAGATATCAAAGAAATTTAGAAGATAAACGTGCTAAGAAAAGAAATCGATATAAACAGGATATAGAACATAATCGCGCTAAGGAACGGTATCGATATAATAAGGATATAGAAAATAAACGCGCTAAGAAACGGGATTTATATAAACAGAATATTGTAAAACAACGTGCACAAAAACGTAAACACTATTCCATAAACACTCAGCAAGAACGAGATAGACAAAAAGAATTAGATCCTGATCGCAAATGGCTTTACAACAGACGATATTATCAGAAAACTAAAAAATCTGTACTTGCAATAAAAAATCACGATGTTGGAAAAAAAATTATTAAAAAATATGAAAAGTTTTGGTCGAAAAACACCATAAAACTTCGTTATTCTTTAGAAACATTTATAAAAAATATCGTTAAGAAACTCAGTATTAAAGGCCATATCGAGAAACGATTAAAAGCCGAAAAAATCATACGTTGTTGTATGCATGTTAGAAGAAGTCATATTCGTAATATCTACAAAATATTAGCTTTGATTAAAAAGAAAACAGAAGCAAGTTTGACTCAAATCACAAAATGTTCTACAATTGAAGAAAAATTAGATGCGTTATGTGGTGAATCTAGCCATACAGCCTCATCTGAAAACTATTTTATTGATTCTACATATCGTCATGTAACTTCAAAGGAAACTTTGGTAATGAATGCAGAAGAGAAAGTAGCAAATCTACCGTTAATAAAAACCGCATTGGAACCTTTGGCAATGAATGCAGAAGGACAAGTAGTAAATATATTACCGTTGATAGAAATAGAAGCGAAAAAATCGTGGTCGTGCAATACTTCATGTAAAACTAACGATCCATTTTTAATTAATCATTATCAGAAATTTCTCGAAACTATAAATACATGTACTTTAAAGAATGTACCCAAATTGATAGAAAATATTCATAAATGTACTATGAAAATTTCAAATGAAAAATTGGGCCATACGCGTAGCTGCCATATTGATTTCACACTTTGCGAAGGAATGTTTCTTCCAGTTCAACTATTATCGCCTCATTTTCCACGAGTAAGATATATTAAGCGTTTAATTTATCAGCTTACAGATTTTTATCGAAAGATGGATAATCTGGATGAAGCATTAACTCATGCTGATTTAAACACATTAAATGAAATTGTAACTTCTGCACAAGAAAAAGCAGATATGTACAAACATCAACAGGCAGATACAATTCTGAGCGACGATGATATTATTTCTAAATATCATCAAGCATTTAAGGCCTTGGTTAAGCGGTCAACAGACACACCACGGCATGCTTGCGTATCATGCGAAAAATTGTGTTATAAGAGAAATGTTTCTGAAGTCAATATTCTTCGAGAACAAATAAATATTCCAAGTTGGAGAGGTTTAATGACACATATACAACAACAAGAAAATAATGCGCAATATATATGTACTTATTGTGCAGGGAAATTTCGTAAAGGCTTAATGCCTGCGTATTGCATCTTAAATAATCTCCTTACAAATGATGTGCCCAAAGTAATATCATCTCTTAATACATTTGAAAAAATGATTATACAAAGAGCTAAAGCGTTTCAAACTGTCGTCAAAATGGGAACTGTTATGAATAAAAAGTTGCCTCAAAGGCAAATTGTACAAAAAGTTAAAGGTAGAACATTTCATTTACCACTTCCATTACAGGAGACGTTGAATAAATTATGTTTGAATACTGACCCAATAAATATTAATAACGAATTATATATTTTAGTTAGAGGTATTCCGACCAAATCAAATATTATTTGGGAAGAGATGGTTGATGTTAAAAAAATATTTGACGCTTTAACGTGGTTAAAGCGCAACAATGCTTTATACTCTCAAATTATACTGCCAAATGATCATAATGAATTAAACATTTTAGAACAATTAAAAAGTTCAGAGTTTCAAATGGAAGAGACAGAAGCGACATTAGGTGACGAATCTGACAATGAGTCATTAAATAATCTGGTAGAAGAGACGAAAAATGATGTAGAAATTACATTAAACAATCAGCAGAAGGCAATGTTAACTCAAGTTACTGATGAAAATGATGGCTATTATGAACAATATACTATTTATCCTTTATATGAAAAGAAAGCAAATAAAACTTCGACAGACTTGTATCAAATGATAAAAATTCAGAATGCGCCTTTGGATAATCGTGAAAAAGATTTAGATTTAATGTGTTTTCCAGATTTATACCCTTTTGGTATTAATGGACAACATGAGATTAGGGAAGTTAAACTTCATGAACATGAATTTATTAAATGTCGTTTGACATCTAAACATCCACAGTACAGATTAAATCAACAATACTTATTTTATTTGTTGAATAATGCGAATATGCGTCAGTTAAACCGTGGAATTTATCATAAATTGAACGTAACTAATCCTCAAGTTCGTTATACGGCTGCAGAGTATTTAGAAGCAATGTCAAAAGAACAGTTGGAATCTGATCTAACAACAATATTTTCCACACTTCGAAATACGGAACAATATTGGCGTAAACCGAGAAGTAATTTAAGGTGTATGACGCAACATTACGGACCTGCGACATGGTTTTTAACACTAAGTCCGAGTGAATGGTTATGGGAAGATTTAGGTGAATATATTCGTGAAGTAAATGGATGGCATGATGCTTCTTTATCCGTTAGCGTACTTGTTGGTAAAGATCCTGTATCAACGTCCAGGTTTCTCGATAATAAATTTCGGGCAATGCTTGACTTCATTAGCTCCAAAGATCATCCAATTGGAGAAGTAACGCACTATTTTTGGCGACGAGAATACCAAGGTAGAGGTATACAACATTTCCACTTATTAATTTGGATTAAAAATGCACCGATTTTTGGTGAATCTACTATTGAAGAAGTCTCCAAATTTATTTTACAATATATAAGCTGCAAAATGCCAGATGAAAATATTTCACCATTATTGTATAAACTTGTTGATACGCATCAGCGACATAAACATAACGATTATTGTCTTCGCTCTAAAAAAGTAGGACGTAAAGTTATTCGTCGGTGTCGTTTTGGATTTCCTCGTTCCGTTACTGAAACTTTCAATATGAGAGATGTGGCAACTTCGATAGCAGGTAGAAAACAATTGAAACATAAAAGTAGACTTTATGATCTTCCTCGAACGGATAATGAAGTTAATATTAATGATTATAATTCTGTTCTTCTTACTGCATGGGAAGGCAATATGGATATACAATTTATTGGTGAAAAATCATCGCTTCTTACTTGGTACATTACTAAATATATAAATAAAGAGGGAAAATGTGAGTTGTCTGATTCTGTTCTTAATATTGAAAATATTAAGAACAAATCATTAGCAAGTCGTCTTTGGAATATGGGTTTGCGATTTATAAATAATAGAGAATGTGGAGCTCTAGAAGCTGCTGATACATTGTTAAGTATTCCTTTGTATGGAACTGATCGAAATACAACTATCAAATGGTTAGATGTCAATCAAATACGACGTAAAAGAATAAAAAATTGCAAGGAAATTGAAGCTCTTGATCCTGAATCTATAGATATATTTTATCCATCTTTAGTAGATGATCTTTATCCACATAGACCAAATGAACTAGAAAATATATCTCTTTATGAATTTGC